GATAGGAAATGTAACCAACGCTTCGGTTATAGATATTATATTTAATATTGGCTTTATTTGAGAAAACAAATACACGCGGTTTAGAACCAAAACAAGAAATTGTTTCATTTCCTGTAATGTAGCAATCAGGAAAACCTTAAAACTCGACACGTAATTATACTTTAGCAATGAATCCATACAAACTTAAGTCAATTAAAGTTACTAAGATGAATTTATAAACATGTATATTGTACATGTATATTTCCACGTACTTTTGAGGTCCGTTTTTTTAGTACTCTGTACTATTAAATATACTATTAAATTACAGGTGCATAGAGCGCATCCCTCTAAATTCTCATGAAAAAAATACGATTTTATTTCTTACAATAAGAACTTTAGAACCTGTAAAATTCACAAAATGGCGCTTCAGCGATTCTTCCTTTTCACCGTCGGTATTAAATTTCACGATTACAATACCTGTATCCATTATATCCGTTATATTCAAGCACACTATTCTGTACTATTGTTAAATCACGAAGTCCTCTATATTCGACTCCCCTTTTAAATTATAAACAATTCAAATTTATAGAAAATGAGGACACAACGACGAACACAGCGCATTGTGTTACCCCAACATTGTCGTATCCATTTCCTGTACCCCAAATTTCTGAAAATGAAATTCGCCCTTTGAAATTTAAACCAAATCCCACACATTCGACAGACACAAAAGATTTTGCCAAAAACAATAATCTCGATACAAAATCCCTTGCCGAAGGCCGAATCAAAGCCGGGATTGAAAACAAAACAAACCACTGGGCCCACACAAAAGGAATCAGGAAACCCTGCATTCATCTTTGAATTTTCTCTGATATGCAAATTTAGCAACCTTCGGGTGAATCCAAGCGGATAGAAACAATAATAGAAAAAATATATTTGAAAAACAAGCGGGGAAAGAGCGGTCCCAAAAATACACTGACGAAATATAAGGAAATTGAAAACAACACGGTACTATATTCAAGCGAGAACTCAATTTGAGCTGAAAGGTCTGGAAGATCTACTTAAGCAGATAGGAAGATTGATAAACGTTACTCATTGATACCATAGCTCTATGGCATCATTCTCTGACTATATTTGGCATTGCAAATTTTCTAGTACATCCAATCACTTTTCTGTGTTATAATTATTAATACAAAGATCGAACACTCAGAAAAAACACTCAGAAAAAATTCCTTCGATCCGGTCGGATTCGAACCGACGTCTACGTCGCATACCGTGCAGACGCTATACCAACTAAGCCACGGAACGAACCAACGGACCTCACGAATTTTTCTATGTGCTTGCGTCGTGTCTTTGTACTTGGTCTTTCAACGACTTTTTAGTCGTAGCGCCATCTATGAGAAATCTATTACAGATTTATCACCCAGTTAGTACTTTTACAGCTACCAGTCCTGGCGAGAGATGTCGCTATTCACTGTATTAATTAAATTTTTATTGAATTGATATTCAATTATTTTTTGTGAAATTACTCCATTAGTTTGTTATAATTATTAATACAAAGAGCGAACACTCAGAAAAAACACTCAAGAAAAAATTCCTTCGATCCACTTTTCTGTGTTTAAAAAGTATACTTGAACAAAAATTTGTGTCTTTCCATTGAGAACACGTACCTTACTACTTAAGATTTGTTTAAAGCACTGAAGAAAAGAAAATGGATGTGTCTTAAGCCCTGATTACTATCAGAGCCGATGTCGCCATAACTCACACATTCTTAATTTGAAAAACTCTACAAAATCTTGATATTGATTGGTTGTAGTTTCAAATTTAAGTGAAATAAATTCTGGATTGTTAATATAAGGTGGCATCTTTCAAACATAAATTAAAAGAGCACTACCTGTCGAACGCGTTAGATAGCTAATAGGTAACATTATGTTATAAAGTAGTAATTTGTTTAGATTATAATATATATTCTGCTTATGTTTGTATTTATGTATATAAAGTTCATGTAGGTGTGTATGTCTGTCATATGTACATATTATCATCTTTTATATTTATATATATATATTAATTTATTTATTTTTTTTACTCACATTTAAATTTTAATTTTATTGTACAATAATTAGTCCCGCAGACTACATTTTTCACCTAGGCTAGGGTTGGCTGGAAGAGATCTCTTCTAGAGATAAGCTCACCTATGTATATGTCCTTTATAACTTGTGTTTCATGTATCTTTTCTTTGTGCAATAAAGAGTTATTATAAACTTTACCCTGTTGGCATATCGCTGGATGTTCAATACCAGCAATACCTATTATTGAAAGTTACGACGTTTTGATATTATTTTGAAATTTCAATCAATGTGCTGCCATCTAGCTGCAAATTGCTGAACCACGACGAATTGGAGTTTTAATTTAGTTCTCCAAAAAAAAGCGACCACATTGCAGCTTATACCACAGCTGTATTTTCGTTTCTTGTAACAAAAAAATGAATTCGATAAACAGAAAATTGAAAATTTATTAAAATAAGACTGAAGACGTGAATCCCACCACAAGGCGTTTTTCTTGGATTTTTGAGAATTTGCACGAAAGAACGACACATTCATATCATACAAAGAGACATATAGTTGGCACGCATCAGACGCTAACTAACCACTGCTACTGTATTTATATTGTTCTGTAGTTTATGCCCCTCCCTATCTACCTTTATACGGGAAGGGCAATATTATCCGTACAAGCAAGCCTCTACAGGAACCTTATCAATCAGATACGACCCCAATCAGCCCGTTGATACCGACTTTATTCGGTTTTCAAAGTGCTAGTGCTTTGGGTGAACGTCCTGGATGCGCCCAGGACCGTACAGTACAGCACCCCTGTATTGTCCAGAAAGGTGTTGGCTCGCCCACCTTATTTTGTGTATTGCATAACTAGCGGTGGTAATCTATATGCATGTATTGCACAATTTCAAACTGAGGCACTTGTTTCCTAAGAAACTTGTTGCTACGAAGTTTCACAAAAATGCGTATGAAATCGTTCCTCCCATTCAAGAATCTGAAATACAGCTATAGCTTCTGTTTCTAACAACTAAACTCCAACCCCAACTCCACACAACATCATTTGTGTATCAAAAAACATTAATAACGCACACACACGCACACACTCAACATAGGCCCGCACTAGGGAAACCCTGTGTCGCCGGTGCCATGGACACACACATAGACAACCACAAATTACACCCAAACTCACGACAAAAACAAAATGTAGACCATACAAATATTTCTCTCGGCCCGGGAATCGAACCTGGAACCTCTGCGTGACAGGCCGGCATTGTAACCGTTCGGTCACGGAGGCAGTTATTAAAATTAATGAAAACTTTCTTCAACACTTCTTATTTCTCATCTAAACATTTTGATGTTTTTTTTTATATAAAGTCACGTGACGGGACGATCAACAGGACAGTCGTGACAGGTGCTAAGTTACACGCCTGTTCATAACAGTTACAGTGCCACTCAGCTCTTTAAATCACAAAGACCTAAGGCGCACTATCACTGCACCCGTCATCCTGAAACATAAGTTGACAAGTCTCACGTGTAATTTCTCTCTTACCCTTCAAAACCGGAACACAATAATGCTGACATTACTGCTTGGCGGCAGAAATAGATAAGGTGGCAGTATTTCGCTGGACTGACTCTTTCACAAGGAGCTCTACTGGTAAAAATGGTGTAACTTTCGATAAATAAGTAATAAACGGACAAATAAATATCATTGTTGTTTTTGTCTGTATTATTGACGACGGAAAGCAATATTGTTGTATCCCGAAAAATAAACCTTTACACCACAGCCGAAAAAGTGACCCCGAAAAATAATTACTCAGTCATTTGAATTAGTATTTGACAAGTAATTAAATAGCTCCGATAAAATTACTCCAAAATATATGTAACATTCATTTTGTACTATTTACAAAAATTGTTTTTTCAATACCAACCAGCAATTTTGCTTGGTAATATAATATTGCGTAATAAAATATCTTACAATTTTCAAGAAGTGTTTTTGCTGTGATAAGATTACGTTGCTGTTTTATACCGTCGTGCTGGCGATGCAGAAGTGTTTCCTTTACGATGTGACATGGAGTCTTTTAACCGCTCACGCGATTCATGCGTCTCTGGAAGCATACCACACCTAGAGGTGCCGGTGATGATTTTATACCGATTTATCGGATATCGAAGTTATAACAGGTAAAAGAACTAATACTAATTGCTATTTCGGTAACTACTCTAGCAAACCATAAAGTTTTTAATGCCTGGGTCTGTTATTTAAAAAAAATAAACAACTTCAAAAATACGTCACGATAATAGTGTGTGTTATTGTTTGGGCTGGTGATGTCGGTGTTTATTTATTGAAAACATACCGTAAGTGCGTTTTTTAAGTTTACCCTGAATATAAATGTTTATAAAATATACTTTAAGGAGTAATGTCATGGTAAACATTAGAACCACTCAAACGGAATATTTTTTTTTTTTTTTAAAAACCTGTACTTAAACTGAATCCTTTTCTAATTTGCGAAACCAAATAGCCGTCATTTTGCGGTAGGATGAGCGCATCGCGTGAGCGGTTAAAGAGCGTGTAAGCAGAATTTGCAACAGCCAGCAACCATAGGCAAGTCGGGATTGCAAAGGTCCATCTATGACGATGACCGTCAACTGCTCATTTGTACCCTTTAAAAATAATATTTGAGGAGGTATTTTCAATTAGGTACTTGGTAGCATTTGTTACGGTGCATCACTACCGTTACTCTTTGGTTCGCAACACCCGGCCACTTGACAGCGTGTTTTCCTCTGGTGGCTTCCAACTTACGAGACGTATGTAACGGCCACGATAAAATGTAAATGTTAACCGAAGAACAACAATATAAGTAAAATTTGGACTCAGATTTATATTTGTAATCTATCTATCTTCGTGATAAACAACAATAATTTTGTAAGATAGATTTTATACCACTATTTTTATTAGGGTGGCTTCATTCGGGGTACATGAAGGGTAACTTATTTTTACTCCTTTATATTTCATTACTCCGAAACAACAGTTCAACTTTTTTTCATTAGTGCGATGACAGTTTTGATATAAATTTACAACACAGAAATATCTTACAGCAGAAGTATCGTTTGTCGGAAAACTTATTATTAGAATAATTATCACACATACGTATTATTTGGTCAGAAGTTTGTTTGGTCTAATCATGTTTCTTATACTGTCTGTTTTCCATATAATTTAGATTGCTGAAAATTCGTTTCGACAAAATTATTATTCTTAGAAAAAATTTTACCGCCATACAATTATACCGTACAGCTCCAAAATTCTGCACTGTATTTTGCTGGTGCACCGCAAGTCCACTTACGTAATTTTCGTCATACCATTGTGCTATGTTTTTGCTGTCATCTGAAATGAAATTTAAAAACAAGTAGTTTTAGTCTTGAGTATTCAATAAATAACTTATAACTAAATCGAGGAGAGTACCAGAACCGAATTGGTTTGCATTTCTCAGCTAGGTCGACCCCCTCCTGTGGGTTTAGGTTAGGTTAGTATATGAAAAAGCCGCACGAGCGACTACAACTCAATCAAATTAACTTGCATCTCGTTTACCATATTTTCGAAATATGCGAGGTGCTTTAATTTGACGAGTTTTATTATACGACACGTTCTAATACTTTTAATATCTGTAATAAGAAATAATATAACAAAAGCGTATCATGGATATCGTTTTTTTTACAAAATAAGAATATAGTTTGTTAGTGAAATAAAAATCGGAAAAAGAATAACTTGTCAATACGTCAAAATAGTGAAACATTAAGTGGTGTAATGAAAAAACCGTTTACGGACAAATGAATCAAAATCTATTCAATAAAAATCTAAAGGTTTTCGGAGAAACAAAATTCTGTAAATCATGTTTCTAGCTTGTGATAGGTAACCTATATGCAGCCTCTCATCACTGCGACCATCAACTAATCTATTGTGACCACCATTAATTACAGTTCAAAGCCAAGGCCGATAGCATGGAAGAACTGAAGGATTTTCCTGGCTCCGACAAATTTTATGTCCTCTGATGCATGTGCCTATCCAGTATGGAACCATCAGAGGAGATGTACAGAAGTTTCTTCCGCCTCGTGGCAGAATTCTACACTCTCTATTCTCTTTGTGCCCAATATTTGACATGTGCTTGTTCAATGTCAATGACCAGTTAAATTTTAGACATATCCCATTTCTTAAACAAGACGGTTTACGTCATATCTTTTGTAAGTGTTTTTGAACAGGTTAATTAACAGCTTTATTTCGTTTGTTCCAGTCCCTATGACGCAAGTGATGGCTATCGTGGGCGACCCGATTTACCTGCCGTGCGACATCTCTACGCAGGATGACGACGACGCTGTGCTTCTGGTGCTCTGGTACCGAGAAGACTTGGGCACACCTATATACAGGTAATAATTAATTTTATAGTCCGAATGCAATAAAATAGGAGTCCAAAGTAAACTAAAGCCTGTGTTAAATTACCATGGCTCCGTCGTTAAGCGCACGTCAATTAAGTTGAATTTAAGCTAACATTTATGCCACTTCTGATGAACGGTCCCTATACTAAAAACAATCTAGGATGATCCCTGTGACAGTTTATAAGAATCTATGCAATATAACCTTCTAACGACGTTGTAACTATTTTTATAAACCACGCTTTTAAATGAAAATCCTTTGTATACCGTAAATACATCAAATTAAAGTAAAAATAACACCAAATCAATGTTCATTTGTGAGAAATAAGCGGAAAAACATTTTTTTCAAAAATTCATAGTTTTTTTACGACAACGTGCAAAAGTTACCTCATTACACTGCATCTGCTTGAAATGAGGTATATCGACAAATGGTATATAGTGCGAGAGTACGGGTATTCATTCTTAAACTATGAATTTTAATCATAGTCAATGCATTGACTTGTACGTGTTATCACTTTTTTGAAATCTATAAACTATAGATATGATGAATATTTTTTAAAATTTTCTAAACTATCCATTGAATTATGGTTGTGTGTTATATGCCTTCAATATAATACAAAACACTTCACTCATCTATACATCGTTCAGTATACGTCGGAAAAATAAAACTATAAAATAGAACTTTTGCTTCAAAAGTCAAATACACTAAAAATTTATAGACTTTAACCTCATCCCTATGACAAACGTCAAATGAATGTCATAAAGACTATCCTAGTTTCGCTAATTATCCATTGCAATTTTAATGCCAGTTGTCATATTATAAGTATCATTTTTAGAGAGTCAGTTACTTACATACTGATCTAGAATCTACTGTACAAAACTACTGGAATCTGTTCGTTCAAGTGTCATAACTTGTAATGTTATCATCCGGGGTATCTAATTCTAAGCAAAGTGTAACACAAGTTCTATAACATTCTAGAAACCACTGTTATTTCTCAAAAAGTTTTTCTTTGACATTTTCATTAAGAAATGTTTGCATCTACTTTCCGGCAACGTAGTTGACACAGTTGTTCTTTAGAATATGATATCCTTTAGTTATTATCAACGAAACCCATAAATAGACACGAAGTCATACTGATTATTTATTGCCTACTCACGTCGTACAATCAGATCTTAGTTCACCATTATTAACAAAAATAATAAGTTCATAAGCCCAAAAGCATCCGATGAAACTTGAACCATAAAATTTGATATCCACCTTTAAAGTCTTGTATTAAATCTGTCTTGCAAAATTTAATCAGTGTTAATAAGAGAAAATTCGTCGAACAAAGTTAAAATTAGATGCTTAATTTGAAGTGTGCCTCTCGGTTCTGCCGAGTGTGTTTATTGAGAGAATTCAATGGATTTTCCAATTGAAGATTTGGAATTGCTTACAAGGAGACCATGGCGTAAGTTATAGAATGTTGGCACTTCACATTGCATAACTTACGTTACATTTGCATGAACGGTCCGCGTCACCTTCACCAGCCCGTGAAGATCGCCGCGGAGGCGGCCCCCGTATCGCAGTGTGTACCGTTCATTGTCGCATCTCTGTGCGAACTGATACAAGTCGTTACGTGCATACATGGCTATTTGGAGTAGCAGCAGACAGGGAAGCGTCAGTATCCCTAAGGACGCAAAGTACGACAGTGTGCACACATCATTAGAAATACGCGTCACGGCCCGTATTGCACGTCTCTGCAGTCCGAAAGCACTTTCCCAATCCGCCGCATTTCCCCAAAAATCTATGATATATTCTAGTACCGATTGCACGGAGGCAAAATAGCATACACGAACTATGGCTTATTATATGAATTATAATAATAAGATGTCAAAAATGTCTCAAAAGGGATAACCGACCAAAAAAATGCATTTTAAACATTGACTTACAAATAAATGGACGACGGGTCTAATAAAAATAATTTTGATTCCGATTATGTTACCAGTGTCATAAAGTTGTTTACGACCTAAAACATAATATTTTATAATACTTATTTTAGTAAACAAAATTAAGTAACAATAATTATATTACAAAATGTGAATTGTTCTGAGTTTTATCAGATTACAGCTTAAAAATAGTTCTTAACCTTTGTTAACGTGAAAAATAGGAAAGAACCATTTAAAATCATTGACTTACAATTATATGGACGTCGGGTCCGCGCTAAAAAGTGTCCGAACTTATAGGGCGTTAAAATCGTATACAGAGCGTCATTCACGCTTTAGTCTTCGTTTGTTCGACTGACAACGAAGCAAGCAAAATTAGACAGTACTGCGATGACATTACAATTTAAATTCAACGTTTTAGCTTTTTCATATTCCTTTACATGTCACTACGTTTAAATAGGTTGACTTGGGACATTTTTTTCGTGGTTTTTGTATTAGACCCGTCGTCACCATCACCAAATCACCAGCCCAAACAATAACACACACGATTGTGGTGACGTATTTTTGAAGTTCTTTATTTTTTTTAAATGACAGACCCAGGCATTAAAAACTTTATGGTTTGCTAGAGTAGTTACCGAAATAGCAATTAGTATTAGTTCTTTTACCTGTTATAACTTCGATATTCGATAAATCGGTATAAAATCATCACTGGCACCTCTAGGTGTGGTATGCGTCTACGGCTGCATGTATCGCGTGAGCGGTTATTTGTAAGTCAATGAGCTTTACAGATGTTTTAACAATCATTACGCTCAATTCAATACTTAGCACATATTTTCTGAAAACGTGCAAATTGTTCTAACGTTTCTGTTCCCCCAAAAAATTGGGCAAAAAAAAACAGTCATCGTATTTCAAAGGTAATGTATACCTCGTGTTATCCAGATTTCACAACAGTCAAATTTGTTGTTTTCCCCCATTTGGATTTGGAGCACCATAGCGACATCTCTTTCAAATCGTTTGATCTAATTTGTTTGTCTGTTTTATCGACAGAGAAACTATAGTGCTAAACTCTTTAGATTATGAGTTAAGGCTTTTTCAGAACTTAAGACAGAAGAAATGTGGTGCAGAACTCGAATACTGAAATTAATAATAATGTGCCAGACAACCACACCATTTGCCTGGTCTCAAACTAAGGCATTCCCTGAACACCCAGACAAGAATTAATTTAGAAAAGTTCATGAGTGTGTGCGTTATATTATATATCCCAAATTGGTCTTACTGGAAATTGAACCTGGGACCTCCACATTCAGCGGCCCATTCTTGCAAACCGTTGGACCACCGATGCCGTCAAGAAAAATGGACTACTTCATTAGTTTCGATTCGTGCACTAGCAATGGATTTGCCTCTAAACAAACTCTCTTTCATCACTTGTACCAGTTTCTAGACTACTGGGAACTTCCACGTCGTCGTTCTAATCAGGTTATTTGATTCACTTGCAAAATAAGCTGTCCAACTTATATGGAGCTCTTTGCAGCTGTTAATACAGAGTATTTTGTCTTTAATGGCATTAGTTTGAGTTGATTGCATCTTTCCCTTTTGAGCGGGCGATATACATGGTATTTAAGGAGTATGATGGAAGAAGCGAAATCATTAACAATTTAGACAGAGACTACAACAATTAGAGCAAAATCATCATTAATTTTGTTGGACTAGTATACACTGATGATTTTAATAATGAATAGAACTGGAGCTTCATTGATGAATTGACTGTTCGCTATAAATTTTCCGCATTTTTTTTTTTAATTTATTTATAATCAAGTTAGAGAAAAACTCATAAATACATACCTTGTAGACTAACAAACATAACAATACAATAAAACACTAAATACTAATTGTTTATACGTATTGCCTGCAACGTGTGACTTAACGTGGGTATCCGGTAGCCGGCCTCGGAAACATCGGTACATTACACCCTTCGGCCAAAAATGAATTAAAATTCACATTGTACCGGAACCCCGACTGCTTAACATTGACTTTCACCCGTATTTATACTCCACAATATCCGTAGACTTGGTGGAGTAATGAAGCCGTGACATGTATAATAACGTTGTCGGTATCGCTGGACGGAATAAATGATTCACTAATGTTACGGCTGGTATACCTACTTGTTTTTCCGTTCCACCTTTTAGAAACCGTCCTCGTTGCATTAGCCAACTCTTCCTGCTGGTACTGAAGACATCCAGAGATGATGATATGGGTACCTATGGTATGCTAATACGTGTGCTAATAATTATGGTAATCCAGCCGCTGAGTTTCCCAGCTGGTCCATGATTTTGGTAAATATAATTTTATAGAGAGAAAGAAAGGGTACTAGGATCCCACGGATCTAGGGTTTTCACTATGAGGGGCACTAATAGGTAGTCGAAGCGCACTTCCTGGCACTCGTGACTTTTTTAGTCTTTCCGCCAGCTCAACAGTGGAGGCAATTGTCTGGTTTGTGTTTTGGAATTGGACCGTCAATGTATCGATGTTGGCACAATTGTCATGCCCAACTCTATTATACTTCAGTTTGTTTGATAAAGATATCGTCAACATAATATTGCGCACCGAAACCACTTGTTACGAGTTCGAATAATAAAAAAAAAAACATTTTATTATCTTCTCGAATTACTAACGTGGAAAATGATGGAGAAGATATAAATATGGTCGTAAATAACTTGTAACTCATCCAAGAAGCGTGATGAAAGTAAAAAAAACTTACCAGCACATATGGAGCGCTTCAAAGGAAAATGTTACTTCATGCTTGCTAATCTTATTTGGTTATATTTTACCTTATTCAATATTTAATTGCAGAGCCACTCAGAGCTTTAAATCGCAAAACTCTGAGATGCACAGCAACTGCATTGGTCAACCTGTGATAGAACGAAAAAAAGGCACAACTGCTGTATAAAACACGCACAGTTGTACCTTTTTTCGGTACGAGGGCAGTATAGTATTGATAAGTCCTATGCATCTGTAGTTTTTTTTATACATTAGTAGGCATCTTAACTGTCATGTCTCTTTTCCAGCTATCCGCGCACGCGATGCGCTCATCCTACCGCAAAATGGCGACTATTTGGTTTCGCAAATTAGAAAAGGATTCAGTTTAAATACAAGTTTTTAAAAATAAAAATTATTATTCTGCATTGCTAAATAAATACCCTCCGTACTACAACAAAAATATCTCAAATAAAATGCAGTAATACACCGCATATCCTGCACTTAAAAAGCACTAATGAAATTTTTGGTGTACTTGGGTAAATATGATAATATTCCGTTTGAGTGGTTCTAATGTCTACCATGAAATTCCTCCTTAAAGTATAGTTTATAAGCATTTATATTCAGGGTAAACTTAAAAAACGTAACTTACGGTATGTTTTCAATAAATAAACACCGAAATCACCAGTCCAAACAATAACACACACGATTGTCGTGACGTATTTTTGAAGTTGTTTATTTTTTTTAAATGACAGACACAGACATTAAAAACTTTATGGTTTGCTAGAGTAGTTACCGAAATAGCAATTAGTATTAGTTATTTTACCTGTTATAACTCGATATCCGGTAAATCATCACCGGCACCTCTACGTGTGGTATGCTTCCAGAGACGTATGAATCGCGTGAGCGGATATGATTACGATTCCAAAATAATAATCTCTTTGTTTTTCTCAACAGCGTTGACGCAAGAGAAAGAGATTTCGGCGTAGCAGAGCGCTGGTCAGACGAGAGCGTCTTTGCGTCAAGAGCATACTTCCTTCCTGATCGGAAGCCTGCTGAGCTGGCCGTGGACCACGTGAAGGCTAGCGACCAGGGCATCTACAGATGTCGAGTGGATTTTAAACAGGCTCAGACGAGGAACTCCAGAGTCAATCTGACTGTTATCGGTAAGTAGCTGTTTGTAATATATTTCCAACATTTATCTTACTTACATTTATCTATACAACACGCCCTACACTACACCCATCATACACCCAACACACAATCAACATACTCACACACACACAAACACAGTGACGGTGTCTGTTCATTCACATTATACGTATCCGTTTGTCCATTAATCATAATCACGTAATTCTTGTTTTCACCTTTTTTTCTCATCATCGTCATCAGCTTATACGCATCCACTGCTGGACATAAGCGTCCCCTAGAGCAAGCCAACTCTCCCGGTGTTGTAGCGGCCGCATCCAGCCTCCTTGCTCAGGTCGTCGATGCATCTTGCCGCTGGGCGTCCTACACTACGTTTTCGTTAACGTGGTGGCCATTCCAGAATAAGACTGCTCCTTCGGCGATCAACCCTCCTGCAGACATACCCGGCCCACTGCCACTTAAGCTTACTAATTTTGCGAGCTATGTCTGTCTCTTTAGTTCTCTGACGTATGACCTCGTTAGGGATTCGATCCATCAGAGAAATCCCAAGCATAGGTCGCTCCATCGCACGCTGAGCGACCTTGAATTAGACGAGGCCTGTTGTTAATGTCCACGTCTCGGCTGCGTAGGACATTACTGGTGATAATAATATAATCTACCACTATTGAATAGGTGTCGCTTACCAAAGTTAATCTCATTGTCTATCAAAGTACACGGAGGAAGGTTTTGTTTTAACGAGCAATAGTATTAAAGACATTAAAGAGATTTCAATACGAAAAAACTTAGGCGAAATAAACGTGATAAATGATATAATTATTTTCAGACCCTCTTTGATCAATTCATAGTACTAAACCCTCGTTTGCAAAAACAACCTAAAACCAAAGCAAAAATATAAAGCAGACATTTTTTAAGTCGCGTCCCCAATTTATCCGAAATCGATAAACGCAAATTGGAATAAAATTACATGTGTAAAGCTAACGTCCTGGGTTTCGTTTTGCAAAATAAAATTTGCCATCGGAGGGAAATGCTAACAACTTTTTGTCTACAGTACTAAGGTTGAAAATATTACAAGAGCTTTAGTTTTAAATGCAAATGATAATGGTGGATTGATGCGACGACACCGGCGAAAAAATTAACATTGGGTAAATCCGAAGGCTATATCCTCTTAGCAACCACGGTTCAGTTGCCACCTGTCTATCCGTAGTAGAAAAGTTTAATCTGATGACGTTGAGAATTTCTGTTGATATTTCATTTGGAAATTTAGAAACAAGTTTAAATTGCTTTCTGAAAATTTTTACAAAGATGTTACAAATTGAGTCATTACAGATTTATAAAAGCACGTTTTGTGAAAACCATTCAAACTCATGTATGTAATTCATACGGGACAACTGGCTACAGAGGTGGTCTGAAGTATTCAGCAACAATAATTTGGAATATAATAATCATAGTACAGAGTACTCCAGAGTAGAGTAGAGCAAAATAGGCGCCTTGTCGTCGAGTTGCGGACACCAGCCCGTTACACCAAGTAAAGTACAGAGTACTACAAAACCAACCTCATAAGTTATTCTTCCCCTAGTTTACCACCCTTAGAGGTGGAATATTTCTTCAAATTTAAATGGGACTACTACTGGGATACCCTCTTTCTAACAAAATCATCAAAATCGGTGCACAAACCGGCCGGAGATAAAAAAATAGACTCAATCGAATTGAGAACCTCCTCCTTTTTAGAGTCGGTTAATAATAATAAAATTACATTTATTAAGGGTAACATGGACCCATTTAGTGTTAGTTACACTTAAATAATAATGTTAGTATATGTACACAAAATAAAAGAGAAGATAAAAACATTACACTACTTATTTTTACGTACATACGTGGATCATAGGACAACCTTTTCACTTCTACGTAATTTTGATTATAGGCACCCTCCCTACCGATCCTTAGGGTATACGAGAAGGGTACTATAACTTGTGTAAGCACAGGAACCGTCTCAGTCAGGTCCTGACCCCAGATCAGCCTGTGTGCATAGACTTCATCCAGTTCTCAAAAGCCATAGTAGGAGAAGAGCTCCTTGTGAACGTCGTCGTTCGTCGAGGGAAGTACTGCCACCTTACCTATTTCTGCAGCCAAGCAATAATGTCAGCAGTACTGTGTTCCGGTTTTGAAGGGTAAGGGTACTGGTAAAATTACAGGCACATGGGACTTGTCAACGTATGTCTCAGGGTGAAGGGCGCAGTGGCAGTGCCCCTCAGATCTTTGCGATTTAAAGCTCTGAGTGGCACTGGACTATTATGGATAGGCGTGTGTAGCTTACAAAAAAAAAGACTAATGCCTTGGGTGAGCTACCCGGGTGTCCGTACAGCACCCTCCCTATTTTCCAGATAGGTATCTAACGGTTGCCACCGCTAAGCCGTTGATTCTAAAATTCAATACCAAATCTCCTCTTCGGTGGCGGAGCTGTAGGCACGCTCACCTCCCGACACCAAAGCTTCTCTCCAGTTCCCAGAAACCTACGCGACTGGAGGGGCCAGAGGATATCTAACTTATCCTCTACTAGTTCCTCTTGGGTTAGTGCCGGAGATGCCGGTAGCAATGTCCTGCGTCATTGTTCGGACATAGCTCCCGACTTAAAGCAACTCACGTGTCCAGAACGTCTCCTCGCCTTCGGCCTTTGTCTACACCGCTACTAAGGCTCGTTAGCTACGCGCGGGAACCGACTCGACTGTCCGTACGTGAATCTTTGTTCACAATCATGCTCAGTATGTTGTTGGTGCTAAAACTCACGCGCTAGGGATGTGCATCGTTTTCGTGTCGTGGGGTAAAAGGAATCAATGACTTGCCACCACGTCTCTGTCATAAGAGTTCCCATCGCTTAGAATTTTATTAAGTGATAAAAAGTAACTCCTTTTTTGTAACGTGACAAAGTCTTACGAGCAAAACGGGAAGAATGTTGGTTTAACGATATCCGTGGTCGTGTGGCTTGCACACTGGTTTTCATAGTGTCGCCATCTCCGAGGTTCCGGGCTCAATTTCCGGCTAGGTCAATGTAGAAAAACTAACTTTTCCGACAGAACACGTCAGACAAATGTAAATCCGGCGTCATTCATTATTAACACAATATATTGCATAACTAAATGCAAAGATTTGCGTATACATACGCAAATAATATATTAATTTAACAATAATAAAACTAGCGTATGAAATAAATTATTATATATTGAATGATTAAATAATGAGCATTATTTAGAACGTTATAGGCATTGACTTACAAATAAATGGACGACGGGTCTAATACAAAAACCACGAAAAAAATGTCCCAAGTCAACCTATTTAAACGTAGTGACCTGTAAAGAAGTACGAAAAAGCTAAAACGTTGAATTTAAATTGTTATGTCATCGCAGTACTGTCTAATTTTGCTTGCTTCGCTGTCAGTCGAACAAACGAAGACTAGAGCGTGAATGACGCTCTGTATACGATTATAACGCCCTATAAGTTCGGACACTTTTATGTGGACGTCGGATCTAAATTATGTGGACGTCGGATCTAAATTATGTGGACGTCGGATCTAAATAAAATTATGTAATTGTAATTGTAATTGTAAGTCAATGGTTATAGGTAAAAATATTCGTCAACTTTATAAATTATTAATTTAATAGATTTACGGTAAACAATGGTTTTTTACTTCCTTTTAAATTCTAACTCGCGCAATCGGGATATAGACAGGTAAAAGTGCATTGTATAATTTTATCTTTGGACAATAACCTTGCTTAGCATTTCTTTTTGAATCTCGTTTTTAACCAACTTTAAAAAAAGGAGGAGGATCTCAATTGGACTATATTGTATATATGTTTTTTTTTGTACAAATGTTACGCGATAATTCGTGTATATAATATTATACGCGATAATTATATAATACGCGATAAAGGAATTGCAATTGGAATTGGATAATTTGCGAATCGATTTTGGTGATTCTTTTTTTGTTGAAAAGAGGGTATCTCAGGAGTGGTCCTATTTGAAGAAAATATTCCACCCGTGGCAAACTAAAGGATAAATGACTTTTGAGGTCGGTTTTTTTTAGTACTCAGTACTGAAATTGTTGGTACTGCTGTTTGTATTTGTTTCCATTATTATAAATATGGATTTCTCTGGTTCTTTTTAAGTTATTCTTATTTTTGTGTATTTCTTGCGAGAAGTAAACAAATCATTGTTTACTGTATATTTTTATTTAACTTAATAATCATAAACATTTAAACATGTTAATTCACATAGCATTATTCGAAATAGTAACTGCGTAAGAACAAGAGTTGTTTAATGTTGAAGTCAAAGAACTTTTATTTTACGAAAATAGATAATCTTGTTTAATATATTTGAAGTAATGTACTTTAAATATGTGTTAAATATTTTATTAATTTGTTTTCACACTACACACACTTATACCTATATGTATATATTGCAAAGATTATGTATTTATTCGATATAAGAGTACACACTGCAATAACACTATACACACTCATGATTAAGTATTTACGTATTTTATTTTATTATCTGTTCAGGGACGCATACGTCTGTCACTCTTACTCACTCGGCTAGGGCCCATTGAAAACCAGCGTCACAACCTAGCCTTGGTTGTGACTTTAGCTGAATGGTATCCTTTTGTACACGCCACAGCCGCACACATGTCAGTTTAGTATTATGCAACTTATTATTGAAATGTTTTTACGCTGTTCTTTGTGTTATTTCTGTTTTAGTTGTATTAGTCTTTGTTTTTGTGTTTTTTTTTTACAATGTGGCGTTACAATAAATGGTTTCTATTTCTATTACAATAAATGATTTCTATGTCTATTTCCATTTCTACTGGCTTGACCCCCAATTTTACAAAACAAAAATTGCGGATATTTTTCTTTGGATGCCATTGATTATTCTGATTGATCGTTTCCGTAGCACTAGAATGCGTTTTACAACAACTCCGTTGCCGTAAACCACATCGCTAGCCCTGAGCTGTGTCACCGACCGAACC